GTCATGCAGCCGATCCCGCGGCCGGACGCCATCGCCCGGTGCAGACGAGCTGTCACCCAGAAATGCTGCCGGTGACTCATTCCGGTCCCTTTCCCCTCCCAGGCTGGCTGAGCGCTCTGTCCTGGACGGAGATGGCCTTGGTGCTGGTCCCTGTCTTTTGCCTTCTGAGCGGTGAGTAATTCACACAGACGCGACGCGCTGCCGCCCAGGGGACCGGTGGGAACCGTTTCCCAGCCCTGGGAGTGCGTCTACACTGCCAGGAGGGGGCTCGGAACCAGGTTCCATTCCAGGGACGTCCCAGCCACTAACGCCAGCGGCTCCAGTTCAAGCCTAGGGGGCGTCTGGCCTTGAACCTGACCCCGAGCGGCCGGGTCCTCGCTGCTGGTTTCCCCCCGGAGGAGAACACGCCTGGTTCTCATGGCAGAGTCAGCCTGGTCTAGCCCCGGCCACCCTGGGCTGAGCAGCGAGGGCCTCAGCCACTCTCATCCCCCGGGCTGCCATTTTCCCTGCGCCATGTCCTGCCTCCGGACTTCTCGCTGCCCCGGCGAGTCGGGGCGTCTCCTGGGCCGGCCTGGAGAGCTCTGCTCCCTGGCCTGCCCATCCGCCCACCTCCGGCCCGACTGGCCCCTGCCTGCGTCCGCACCCAGTTCCTTGATCACAGGAAGCACCTGACCTAGAGCTGCAAACCTTCCAGGATTGTCCTGGATTGTCCTGGATTTAAAGATTAATCTGCAATTAAAGATTGTCATGTGATGAAACCTCCAGGAATTTGTCCAACCAAAGTTGGCAACTTTAACCTGACCCCTCGCCAGTGGGGCTCCTCCTGCCGTCAGAGTCTTTGGCCCAAGGGCCAAACACCCAGCTGGGGGGGGGCTGAACTGAGAGGGGATGAAGGGTGCACTGAGCGGTGATATGGGGGGCTGAATTGAGGGGGAATGGGAAGGTGAACTGAGTGGGGCTGGACTGAAGGGGGTGGCCAGGGAAGGTGAACTGAGCGGGGATTTAGGGGGAGTGAACTGAGGCGGGGTGAACTAATGGGAAGCAGAGGACGGAGTAGATTGAAGGGGGGCTGGGAAGATGTGGGGGATGGGCTTGCCCTGGACTGATGGGAGAACTCGGGGGGACAGGAGTGATTCGGGGGCTGGGGTGATTAATTGCTGGGCAGGGGATGGGCTGATGTTGGGGGGGGCATCTCCAAACTCCCTTCCCCAAGTCACAGGGGAGCGCCGGCCGGGCTCACTGTCACCCCCAGGCCGGGAGAGGGCAGAGGGGCTCAGACAGCCCCACAACACAACATCCCCAATTGTGTTTTAAAGTGCCTGGTTTGGCGGGGGGTTGAGCTGATGCTGGTCTCTCCCGGCGGGATCTGTGCAGCAGCCCAGCCTGCAGGGCGGGTTCCCCAACTCGCTGGGGCCGGGCGCCGGTCTGATCCCGATTCCTG